TTTCCATGTAACCTTAGGCAACTCCCCGACCATTTTCAAATAGATGCTTCTGATCATGCTTTTATTCTTCAAATTTTCTGGTTGTACATACCTCAGTCCCTCTCTTGCTTTGAATATTTTCTTGACCATCCAGCTAGCTTGTTGAGGGATAGTCATACTCTCCAACATTTGTGCTTTTATGTAATACTCATGAATCCACTTAATCCACAAAGTGTCTTTCTTAGTCTTCAAATCCCAACAGGTCTTTATTATGGCTGTTTTGTTCCATAGTTTGAGATTAGTGAGATTTAAACCTCATGCTGATTTTGGCATACACATCCTGCTCCAAGCTACAAGTGACTTTTTGGTGATTTCATTTGTTCCTGACCATATGTATCTTCTGCAGTATCCTTCAATGGCTTTCATTACCTTACCAGGAATGATAAATAATTGTGCCCAATAAGATTGAATACCAAACAATACTGACTTTACCAATTGTACTCTTTCTGCATAGGATAACTTCTTGGATGTCCATGATGATACTCTTGCTGTGATTTTGGTTATTAGAGGCTACCATTCTACCAATTTCAGTTTTCTAGTAGCTAGAGGGATTCCTAGATACCTGAATGGTAGTTCCCCTTGGCTATAACCAATTGCTTGCTAAATTTCCTGCTTACATTCTTCTGAAACCCCACCATAGTATATAGAACTCTTGGATTGATTAGCTTGTAGCCCTGAGGCACTTGTGAATGTACTAAACTTTTCATGTAGAAGTCTCACTGATGGCTTATCTCCCTTAGCAAACATAAGAAGGTCATCTGCAAAGCACAGATATGTGATGTTTAGCTTGGAGCAGTTTGGGTGATACTTGAATTGTTTCTCCTCTTTTAGTGTACTGAGACTTCTACTCAAATACTCCATAACAATAGCAAATAGAAAAGGAGACATTGGGTCTCCTTGACGTAGTCCTCTGGCAGCATCAAAGGGTGGGGTTGACTCTCCATTTATAACTATAGAGTAGTTAACAGTAGTGCCACACTCCATCACCCATCTGATAAATTTTTTAGGGAAGTTCAGTTCTGTCAGCATTTGCTCCAAAAATCTCCAATCTACTGTATCATATGCCTTCTAAATATCAACCTTAATCATACATCTGGGAGATATATGTTTTCTTGTATAAGCCTTCGCCAACTCATGTGCCATTATCACATTATCTGCTATCTTCCTTCCTGGGATGAAGACTGATTGAGTTTCAGTAATTATAGTTGCTATCACCTTATGAATTCTGCTAGCAAGGACCTTTGCTATAATCTTGTATATAACAGTGCAGCAAGCAATTGGCCTATACTCCTTAATTGTGGCAGGGTTGACAACCTTTGGTATCAGTGTGACTGCTGTACAATTAATCCCCTTATACATTCTGCCTATTGTGAAGAACTCTTGAACAACTTCAATGATTTCTTCCTTAATGACTGGCCAAGCTTTTTTATAGAATACTGCATTATAATCATCCACTCCCGGAGCTTTGTCATCTCCTATAGCTTGAAGACCTGAATAGATCTCCTCCTCTGTCACTTTTTCACAAAGTTGGAGCTGTTGAGTGTGATTCAGTACATTCCCTCTTCTCATGATTACCTTGCTAACTGCTGTTACATTCTGCAAAGCTATTCCCATAAGTGACTTGTAGAACTATATTATCTCTATCTTGATGTCTCTAGCTTCTATTAATCTGCCTCCCATTTGAGACTCTAATTCTAATATTTGCTTTCCTTTATAACAACTGAAAAATAATTTGTGTTAGCATCTCCAAGTTTGATCCATCTTGCCCTAGCCTTTTGTTGTAGTGCACTTTCTTCTATCATTGACCACTTCTCTAGTTGGCAGATCATCTTCTTTTCTTCCATTGCTAACTCATCTAAGTATTAGTGCCTTAGCTTGAGTTGTATTTCTTGAAGATCCTCTCTTGCTTGAGTAATTCTTGCTGTTACACCTTCGAATTCAGTTTCATTTAGTCTTTTCAGCTTCTCCCTTAATTCCTTCTACTTAGTCCAGATATTCCTCATCTTATGTGAATGATATCTTTGCTTCCAGTTTTTCTCCACTAGATAAAGAAGATCCTCATGAGTTGCCCATACATTGAAGAATTTGAAAGCTGTTTTGACCCTTGGCTCCCTCACATTTGTGGTTATCGTCATTGGACAGTGATCAGATACATGAGGGAGTTTATATTCATTCAGCAAATGGCCATATTTTAACATCCATTCTGTATTTCCAAAAGCTCTATCAATCCTACTCCATATTCTGTCACTTCCTTGTTGCTTATTTGTCCAAGTATAGTAGTCTCCTTTCCATGTCAGTTCATTCAACATCAATTGCTGAATACATTATGTGAAATCTTTTATCTCATGACTAGTGACTGCCGCTCCTTTCAATCTATCTTGTGGAATTAAAATAGCATTGAAATCTCCCCAAATGATCCATGGTTTGGCTATTGTTTGAGCCAAATTTCTCAATTGATTCCATAACTCTCTCCTCTGCTCCATTGTATTATAACCATATACTATTGTCATTGCACATTCAATTTGTTGATTTCTGCTCACCACTTCACAGTGAATAAACTGTGCTGCCTTCTTCAGAACTTCAACCTTATAAGCATTAGCATCCCAAATCATCTAGATTCTGCCATTCTGTGCATAGCTATAGTTATTCTCAAATCCCCATCCTGGGGCAATTTTATTGTAGATTGCCTGAGCTCTATGTTCCTTCACCCTTGTCTCCACTAGTCCTGCTACTTTAATTTTATTCTCTTTGAGATACTTAGCTAATTCCTTTTGCTTATATCTCTTATTCAAACCCATCATGTTCCATACTAACCATGTCATTATTGATGACATATAAATCCTCCACCTATATCAGTAGGTAGGAGTTTTGTCATCACATCATATTCACATTGCAATATCTCAAATTCATTTCTCACTGGAATGGTTGCTTCAATTAGCTGTTGCACAGGTCGACCATTAATTTCTTTAGCTGCCTTCCCTTTTAACAATTGCTTCTCTGTAGAGTGTGGATTCAAGCCCTCTGTATCCATTTTCTCTGTTGGCTTCTGAACTTGGTGAGTGGTTTCTGTAGTCTGATTTCCCTTCTTCTCTTCATTAGTTTCAACTACAGTTCTCTTGTCTTCCTTTGGTAACCAGGCTTGCACCATCTTCTTAGGGCCTTGTTTCTTCTTTTCAAAGTTGTTGAATTTGTGTTCCTCATTCTTCACATCCTTCAGTTTCAGCTTTGCACAATTATGTCCTATCATTAGACATTCATCACAATAGTCTGGCTTTCACTCAAGCATAATCAATTGTTGAAATGTTTTCCCTGATGGATCAAGAACAGTTACTTCATCTAGTAAAGGCTTGGTGACATTAACCTCTATAAGCATCCTGGCAAATGATACTCTAGTTTGCTTTATCGTACATTCATCCGCATATTTTGGCACTCCAATTGCACTAGCTATCCTGCTCAATGAATCTCGGCTCCAGCAATTCATAGGTAGGCTAGGGAATTTAACCCACAAAGGCAATTCTGTAAGAAACTCGGCATTGAAATTAAATTCAGGGCACCATTGTTTTAAAATCATTGGCTTGTTATTGATGCTATATGGCCCTGCATATTGCACTTCTTGCAATCAGCTATTGACTTGAATTTAACTATATAATACCCTTCTTCATGGTAATAAACTTCAGGCTCAGCTACCATATTCCAATTTTGAGTCACATATCGCTTCATATAGTTATACCCTGGAGTTTCCCCTATCACATAGACCACTAATGCAGCTTTCCACTTATAAGCTTCCCTATTTGTTTCTTCCTTATCGAGCTTGACCGTTAAATTTCCATCAATCAACTCTGGTGGTATGTAATCAAGTGACATACCATTAGTTGCTGCTCGATTGCGATTGAAAAGTACACACCAAATGTTGTTTGTCTCTTGTCCCTTCAATGGTTGCTCAGGCTTCCTCAGATGTGGCTCTTTGAGTTGTGTTGATTGTTGTTCTTCAGTAATTCCTGGTAATTGCAGTTGCAGAGGCTCACTTATGTTCAATTTCCTAGCTCCAGTTGACAATTTACCAGTCGAAATTAGCGGAGACAAAGGAGGAAATTGAGTTGCTAGTGGTGTAATCCCTCGTTGTTCACTTCCATTTTCTAGGGTTTCAGCTATAACCCTAGCACTAACCTAGCTTCCTGCTGTTACGAGTGCTTGCTTATTCGGTCTTCCTCGCCCTCTAGCCATGGCCGCCGCCGTCGGCGTAGATTTGCTTAATCTGCGCCGATCGCCCTAGTCTAGAGAGAGAATTACGTATCCCATAATATTATGCCAAGTGTCAAAACAAAATATCAACACGTGTCATATTTTAAGAAAAAACTCCAATAAATTTGAAGATTCAAAAAAACTTGAAAATAGAAAAAAACTTACAAAATTTTAAACCATTAATTTGGTCAGTTATTCACATCCCACGATTGGGAAGATCTATTCACTCCACGATCCCAAGTTTTTTGGGCAGATCTTTTTTAAACTTGAAAACTAAACAAATATAATTACTCACGACATTTTTTTAAAAGACAATTTTACATAAAAATATTAATAAAGGAAAAAAATACTCCACGATCGTCAATTAAAAAATTGGACTCCCACGTTTTTTCATTAGTGTTTTTATTTAATTTATTATAAACCAAAAATATTCGACTACAAACCTAAATATTCGACTACAAAAATTCTTTACAAATAATTTTACATAGAAATAGGAAGAAAGGAAAAAGAAAAACACTCCGTGATCCTCTTCCCAAACGTCGGCATCAAACCTAATCAAACCTAAATATTCGACTACAAAAATTCTTTACAAGTAATTTTACATAGAAATAGGAAGAGGAAAAAGAAAAACACTCCATGATCCTCTTCCTAAATGTGGGCATCAAAACCTAACTCCATAACTTAGAAACTGTCTACTACGCTAGTAATGTCTCAAACAGTCTGCTCCTTCTTTTCTTTTCTTTTACATTCCCTTTTTTCTCTGCTCAAAATACCGAACTTTGCAAATATGGCTACAACACTTCATGAAATCAGTCAAATTGCAAGCAACTTGATGCAATTGAATCTCAAAGTTAGAGTCGTTCGAATGTGGAAATCCCGGATCGTTTGAAGCCTGAAATACCATATTCCATTGAGTTGATTTTACAAGATGCAGAGGTAACATACTCAACTTTACATAGTTCTAAATTTCTTTCTTTTCTGCTTTTATGATAAATTTTTCACAATAAACTGTACTAATTAAACAATTATGTGTAGTACCAGTATTCTGTTTCTGTTTCTGAAAGTTATCATCGAAAAGTTTGTTATTAATTTCTTTAGGGCGAACTTACGGCAATTTTGATTATTCAACTTTACTTAGTTTTAAAGTTCTTCTTTTTCTGGTTTAACGGATAAAATTTCCGCAATAAACTTTACTAATTAAACGATTGTACCAGTATTCTGTTTCTGTTTCTGAAAGTTTATCAATTAAAAGTTTGTTATTACTTTCTTAGGACGAACATACGAAAATTTTGCTTATATATGAAACGATTATGTGTAGTATGATTATTTCTCTATCTGTTTGTTAAAGTTGTATTCACAATTGCGTTTCTCAATTGTCTAAGAAAAATACCAGTAATTTAAATTATGTATAAAATATCTTTAATTGATATGGAGCTCACTGTAAAAATTATTATAATTCATCTATATTGAATCTTTGTACGGTTTAATTTCCATTGTGTTTAAAATAAATCTCTGCCAGATACCAGCTATGCTCGACTCGGTTAAACTATTATCGGCAAGTTTGTTAGAAGGAACATAATGAAACTTGGCTCATATATAGATGATTCTATTTTTTTGTACTATGGTGGAGGGTTGGGTGTGGTGATAGTGTGAATACTTAATCGTGTTTAAACAGTCCTTTATCTATTGATATGGTCCTATTAGTAGAGATTTTTAAATTTGTTCTATTTTATTTTTTTTCTTGAACAAGGACAAACAGCAGCCACAGCCACAGGTGCAGCTGCAGACACACGTGCAGAAGCAGGAACAGAAAGAGGTGGACAGTCTTAAAGACGAACTCTCAAGTCTCAACATAAAATAGATGTATGGCTCTGTTAATTATGGAAATCATTGTTTAAAGATATTTAGTACTTGAACATGGTTTAAATTTACATATGTGATTGACTGTTATTTCAGGCGGTTGTTCTGCAGGGATATTAATGGTTTGGGTTTGAATGAACTACGACTGCTTGAACATCAACTAAATGAAGGACTATTAGCCATAAAGGACATGAAGGTGTGAAGATTGCTTTGATTATTCAGTTATTAGTGCCACAAGATGTAGTCAAATTTTTTCAGAATATATCTATTTTGTTGAATCATGAAATCTGAGCCATATATTCTACATTCTAGGAAGAATTGTTGATACAACAACTAGAGAACTCAAGGAGGCAAGTAAACCACATCAGAAAGTTGAACTATTTATATTTTTTATTCCAGCGAAAAAAGATTAGAAGTACATAATGAGCTTTTCTCATGTTCTGCTCATGTTTCTTTATGATGATGCCTATCCAGGAGGAGAGGGCTATGTTGGAGAGTGAAACCTTACACAGACAGGCAAGAGAAGCCTTTGTTTTTGTTTCTATTGCTTTACAGTCTATAACTCCCCCCTTTAGGTTTCTGGTGGTTACTTTCTAACCATATTTTTTTAGAAGGTAACAACTTAACTGCATCAAAAAATTCTACTCATGAATGATGAAATTTTCTGGAAACAACGCGTCTTGACTAAAAAAGTTATATCTCTTTGTAGACGCCTCAAAATCGTGATTCGCTTGTGCCATTGAAAAGAGCACTTCTAAAACTAAAACATATACAAAAAACATCTAGATTCTTTGTATATTTATAAAGATATACTTTTGAATTTATTTTTGAAATATTGGTATTCTAATTTTCACATCTTTACGTGTCATCACTAATAAAATCATATCTTTCTGCAGACACATCAAAACTATGATTTGCTTGTGCTGTTGGAGTTAGAACTTCTAGGGCTAATACATACAAAAAATAGGTCCAAAATATTTGAATATTTATATAAATTATCTTTTGATCTCAGTTTTAAATTTTGTCATTACAATTTTATAGCTTTGTGCATCCTGACTACAAAATAATACATCTAGTTGCAGGCACGTCGAAACCTTGATCCACTTATGCCGCAGGAGAGAGGACTTCTTCAACTACATTATATACAAAAAATTAGGTTAAGATTCTCTGTAAATTCATACAGATATTTTTTTGAACTCAATTTTGATTTTCGATCATTGTGCTTTTAACAGCTTTGCGCTTTCTGACAGTAAAACTTATATTGCTGGTGCATCGTCACTTCTTGATATCGTATTATTTTTTATTTTAATGCTTTCATTTTCTTTCGCTCGCACTTCTATAGAGTTACAACTTGAGTTTACTTGAAATATCAAGAGATTCCATATCCATATCATGGAATTGCGGATGATAAAAAGTATCCAATGCCAAAGTTATTCAACTTAAACTTAATTTTCCGGTGATTGATAGTTTTCCTATAATGAGGTAATCCCTCGAGTATTTGCTTCACCTTTAATAATGATTAACAAAGGAGGCATTCAATGTTCTCGAAATTTTCTTTAGTAAGGCTACTAACATGAAGGTTCTTGCGTACAAATCATCTACTCATGATGAGATAGTTATGTCTGCTAGCCCCAAAGTGAAGATCAGTCCCATGAAGGCAAGTAATTTGTGAATACCAATATTTTTCATTTTCAGAGGTTTCATGGATGAAAGAAATCATCGAGACAAGCCGCGATGAGGTTCATATCTGTTGAGTAATTTTTATTAACTTCAAATTAACTATTTTGGTATTGTTGATTTTGTACGAGATTATAACATATTTTCATACCTTATAAAGTAATTTTTTGTTGTTAATCCTGACATAGAAAGATTACTACAATAATGTGAAAATTTAATTTTTTAATAAAACTATTTTTCGTAAGTTTTGAAAATATTATTGTAATACTTAATGATTGGTGCTGACCTTTGTAGCTTTACTTGCTTGATTAATGTAATTGTTAGTTGATGGGGGAATCGACTTAAGAAATTGTCACGACCCAAACCTCGCACCGGACGTGATGGCGCCTCTCGTGAAGACAAGGCCAGCTAACTAACCCAACTCGACTCTTTCAAAATAGTTAAACACAAATGAACGACAAGATACGACATAATGATATTAATTAACAGATTTACAACCCAACACAGCCCTAATCGGGGTGTCACAAGTCACGAGCATCTATAAGAATGAAATCTCCACTTTACAGTCTAGAAATACACTGAATAAGAATAATGAATAACATAGAAAGACAGTGGTGCTGCGAACGCTGGCAGTCACCTCGCTAAAACCTCTACAACTCTGCCTCCACACAGCCAATACCCGCTACCGGGTGAACAAATACCTGCAACTGCACACGAGGTGCAGGGAGTAAAGTGAATACTCCAACTCAGTCAGTAATAAAGGTAAATAATAACTGAGCAACAAAAAATCACGTAAAGCAACCAACATGCCATATAGAAGTCGGGTACAATTTTATGAGAAAATAGTAAAATCTGTGAAATCTTTAAAAATACCTTGGCTCAGTTCAAATCTCTTTTGAAAATGATCTTTTCAATAATTATGAAAATGGTTTCAAAACAGATAGTGCTGATAAGCACGGAAAATCCGCCCCTCGGGCACAAATACCACAGTATAACAGGTAAAGAGGCAAATAAGTACACAAGATGAGCACATAAAAGTTCGCCCCTCGGGCAATATCTCAAACTGAACCAGCCCCTCGGGCTCACTCTCAACAAGACTCTCAACCCCTCGGGCTCTCTCTCTCAGATCACTCTCAGAACGGTATCACATAGTAGCCGCTGCGGCGTGCAGCCCGATCCACATATTGCTGCGGCGTGCAGCCCGATCCACATATTGCTGCGGCGTGCAGCCCGATCCACATATTGCTGCAGCGTGTAGCCCGATCCATAGCTCGCTGCGGCGTGCAGCCCGATCCATATGGGTATCCGCGCTCACTGTGGGGGTGCAGACTCCGGAGGGGCTCCTACAGCCCAAGCGCTATAACACTGCGGCGTGCAGTCCGATCCAATATATATATATATATATACTGTTGCGGCGTGCAGCCCGATCCATATAATATATTGCTGCGGCGTGCAGCCCGATCCATATAAGTATCGCTGCGGCGTGCAGCCTGATCCATATATAATCCTGACATCCAGGCCCTCGGCCTCACATCACTCAGTGTATCCTCACATCTGGCCCTCGGCCACACTAAGTCAGAATATCATCGCAAGCCCCTCGGGCATTAGTAAAATTGTAGTCCTCAGCCCAGATTATCATTTAAAATATCATTTAAGACTCAAATCTTAGTAAAAGTGGGAGTTGTAAAATAGTGGAGAAACAATATGACTGAGTTCGAGTAATAAGTCAAAATAGCGAGAAAACAGTGAAAATAATCCCCGAAGGATTCAAATAGTTGGCACGAAGCCCAAATATGGCAATCAGCCCAAACAGCAGTGATAACAAACAAATTCCAGTCAAATATGCAGTAAATTCATCAATCGGGACGGACCAAGTCACAATCCCCAGCGGTGCTCTACCCTACGCCCACTATCCGGCGTGCAAGTCACCTCAATATAGCACTACGATGTGCAAATCCGGGGTTTCAAACCCTCAGGATATCATTTACAATCATTACACACCTCGAACCGGTGAAATCTCTAGCTCGCGATGCCCTTGCCCCTCAAATCGGCCTCCACGCGCGTCGAATCTAACCAAAATCAGAGCGAATACATCACAATATGCTAAGGGAACAATACCCAATCGAAAACAATCGAAAAATATCAAGAATCCCGAAATTAGCAAAACCCGAGCCCCGGACCCACTTCTCGGAAATCAGAAAATTTAACATTAATGGATTCCTCATCTTCTCACGAGTTCATACATACTAAAAACTCTCAAATCTGAGCTCAAATGACCCATCAAATCCCAATTTGAAATATAAAAAACTCAAACCCTAGTTCATCAATTTTAGGCTTAATTTCCATGAATTTCTAGACCAATTTCACAATATAATTGTGTTTTAAGTTCAAAAATCTTACCTCCAATCGATTCTCCTTGAATCCCTCTTCAATTTCCTTCAAAAAGCTCTCAAAAATATCAACAATGGAGTAAATGAGCCCCAAAATCGCGACTGACGTGTTTTAAAACATTCTGCCCAGGTATTTACTCTTCGCGATCGCGGAAAATGCTTCGCGATTGCGGAGAACAATTTTTCCAGCCCAAAATTTACTCTTCGCGATCGCGGTCAATGCTTCGCGATAGCGATGAATAGTTCCCAGCTCTTCCGGACAGCCTCCAGTATAACGGTCATAACATTTTGCACACAACTCCAAATTACAAATGGTTTGATGTTCTGAAAACTAGACACATAGGGCTATAATTTCATATGTTGCTCATTTCCTGACTCCTTATACATTGCGAGATATAATCTTTCAAATTCATCCCTGTGTATTAGAGACCTTCCCGGGCAGCCTATAGAGTAACCATCATAACTTTTTGTACACAACTTCAAACTCCAATTAATTTACATTTCTGAAAACTAGACACAAAGGGCTACAATTTTCGTTTTTAGATCATCTCCAAATTCCTTATAGATTGTGAGGTATAAGCTTCCGAAGTGGGATCAATGCAACAGAATATTTCTTCTCCGCGATCGCGAAAGGCATTCGGTGATCGCGATTCATTGGCACGTTTCTCACATTTTACTCACCGCGATCGCGACCTATTCCCCGCGATCGCATAGAACACTGCTGTAGCCAAAAACCAACAGTTAAAAATGGCCTAAAAATGGTCCGAAACCACCCCGAACTCACCCGAGGCCCCCGGGACCTCAACCAAACATGCCAACCAATCCTAAAACATCATTCAAACTTGTTCCAATCTTCGGAACGCTCAAAACAACATCAAAACACAAATTTTTCGTCGGATTCAACCTTAAAATTTTGAAAAACTCTAAAAATACATTTTCGATCAAAAAGTCTACCAAACCTCGTCCGAATGATCTGAAACTTTGCACGCACATCCCAAATGACATAATGGAGCTACTGCAACTCTCGGAATTCCATTCCGACCCTTATATCAAAATCTTGCCTATCAACCGGAATTCGCCAAAATACTAACTTCGCCAATTCAAGCCTAATTCTACACCGGACCTCAAAAACCACTTCCGATCACACTCCTAAGTCACAAATCATCTCCTGGAGCTAACCGAACCATCAGAATTCACATCCGAACCCTCTAACTCATAAGTCAATGTCCGATTGACTTTTCCAACTTAAGACTTCTTAAAAGAGACTAAGTGTCTCATTTCTTATTAAAACCACTTCAAATCGACTCGATACACAAGATATGTATAATGAAGCATAAGGAAGCTGAAAATGGGGAAATCGGAGCGGTAACTCATGAGACGACGGGTCGGATCGTCACAGAAATAATATAATAACAATGTGACATAAATTCATAGACTGCTAACTAATTGAAGAAATATGTTAGTGAAGTTAAGATTTTCATATCAACGTACGTTTTCAAAGACTTAATAGCTTGTGATATATATGTTCTATTATAGATAACTAACAAATTAAAATACTATTACTTTGTAGCTACAATTTGATTGTGTTTGAACATTTATTTTTGTTTGCTTGCGCTGGTCCATGGAAACAGTCAATAATATCTCCGTGCTATTTTAACCATTACATGTGGTGGCAGAAGACAAACTTGATCCCCTCCATCATTTGGCAAAGCTTGCTTCTATTTTTATGGTACATTCTCCTCCTATTCCTCAATTGTTATAGTTGTACATCAATTTGTGCGAGTGCGAATTACATTGATATTACTTCTTATTTCTTAGGCAGTTGAATTGTTCCTGGAGAAGTTTTGCTATTTGTCACACATTTATATCATTACTTCTCATTTCTCAGGCACTTGAAATATATTATTGAAACAAAGTTGTACTCTCAATTGAAAACTCGGTTGGTGGGACCATCCACCTTAACTACAATTTATTACTCCAGCCTAAGCTGCATAGCATTGGAGAAGTTCAATTAGTTGTTAAAAACTGATTTTTTGGGATTGCAATGATTTGGGAAAGAGGAACTAAATCGTGTCGTTCGCCACGCTCAGGTAATTGCTTATTTAATTATTCAGAATTTTTTTTGTCCTCACTAATTGTGAGAAGATACAAAAATATTACATTAAAGTATAGGGGTTGAGGTAGAACTGCAATT